GATACACTTTACACGATGTCGATCGATTTCCAATGGGAATATCGATCGATGCGGCTAGTCAAGCGTTATACACGAGTTAATCTATACACTATGGACCCCCTAGATCAAGCGTTCGCCTTCTCTCTAGTAAAAATCATATCTTAATCAGGATGTATTCAAGATTATCAGAGTTATATAAGGATGCTTAAACAACCTAACAATCCTATATTCAGGTTTCTAGTTAGCAAGTCTAGAACATAAGCATTAAGAACATCCTATTAATGAATACCACAACAAACGATGCTATAGTTGGGGCTAATCCCACTAACCTATTTAAACCCTAATTCTAACAAGTGAATTACTCAGACATGGCTAAGCAATACATAACACAAGCAAAGTAATAAAACTGCATAATTATAGATGATAGAAATCAATGGTTTTCTAATCACAAATCTTTCTGTTGATCTTCTTTCCCAAACTATAAATCCTAAAAACCTTTTGCTGTGAAAAGAATACAAAAAAAACTCTCTTTGTCTCTAACAATTTGGCAGAGTATATAAACTTAGGTTAAAACTCGTCCGGGTATAATCATAATTTGGTGAAGTTTGGAATTTAAGTCGGCTGTCTCGCGAATTAGTCTTCCGCGCCTTCGGCATCGATCGATTATGCAGAGTGCATATCGATCGACGTGAGTCACTCCGTGTCGACCTCGTTGTCTTGTCGATTCCGAAATCGAGTGATTTCTCCAATTCTCTCTTAAATGCTCCAAAAACATAACTTTTTTCCAAAATACTCATGAACCTATAAATATGCTTAAAAGATTCTATAATATAATGAATAGTTATAAGACACCAATATACCATAACAAAAAGTGGGTCAAAATTATGGTACATCAAGGGGTTTGGTGGTTTCAGCTCAACATTCGCAGCCTCTAGTGCATCTGAAAATCTTCTTTCTCCAGGATATGGTCGTTGGGCTTGTGCTTTAGTTATTTTCTCCAGTTGAGAAGTCTGATCATTGATCTTTTGTAAAGCTTCCTTGAGTTGGTTAGTGCTTGCCATGAGTTGGGCAGCTTGATCTTGTTTTGGCATCTTTCTCATATCTCATAGTTTTTCCTGAAATCAATCTCAGAAAAACAAGTAAGGTATAGAGGAACGTCTGGTCAAACCAAATAAACCATAATGCAATTATGTAATTTTACACTAAAACGAGAAATATGCAATTATGGACCTAAATTATATAAACTATGCAAGAAAATGATTTTTTTCTTTTGGTTTTATTGATGCAACTCGAAATGATGACAATATGAAATGATATCAAACACAAATGGGAAGAAATATGGAAATAAAAGTAGCAATGAAATTTTTTTTTTTTTTATTTTCTTTATATGAAATGCAACTAACCAAATGCAAACAAATATGAACTAAAATAAGATGAATGATTTTTATTTTTCTTTTTATTTTTTCTGGATGCAATATATGGTACGAAATATATGCGAAATAAAATGATATGCCTTTTTAATTTTATATTTTTTCAATGCAAGATTCAACAAGAAAATATGGTATGCAGATTTTTTTTTTCTTTTTTTTTTTAATGAATGCACAAGATCAAAAAAATGGTAAGGGGAACTGGGGAGAATGAATGCAAAAAATAAAGTGTTAACAAATTTTAAATCCTAAATGATCAAACACAAAATAACTTGTCTCCCTTTTATGGTTTTCATTTTTTATTCAGATGAACAAGAACAACAAAATAGAAAAACAGTTTTTATGGCTTTTTCGATTTATGAAGAAAACAAATGCAAATAAATGAAATATGATGCAAGGAAAGAATGGACCTGATTCAATATCTATTAGGTCTGATACCGAAATGTTGTAAGCATATGGGATAACCCACGATTTGGTTGGATGATGGAATCAAACTACAATCTGGAATCAAAGAGAATGTATTTCATGAGTTTTTATGATGCAAACCGAAACAAATATAAAAACGAATGAGATGTAGTTTATGATATGAATAAAACAAGATAAATAAACAAAGGGTAGGATGGAATCAGGCTCCTGGACTTGAGTCTCTCAGCCTGATCAAGAGATGATTGAAGTGAAATGAGATTATGCATTGCTGGATGTGTATCACTCTCAAGCTTGGCAATTGGATGGGATGAACGAGATCGATTAATAGACACCACAAATATCTATGGAAGGGATCCTTGATAAGCTTGGACGCTCAAGAGCTGTTTCTCACACACTCAAAATATTTAGAACAATAGTTTTGAGAAAACTAGAAAAACTAAATAATTCATATTACTTTAAAGGATGGGTTTGTTTACAATGAAGCAAGGACTGAGCTTATATAGTCTCGACATAAGAACTCTATAACAGTCTAAAATGACTAAAGAAAACTAATAAACTCGGAATAATAAACTTGGAAGCAAAGGCTTTGATGGCTCCATGGAATATTGCATTTAACTTGATTTATCCCTTCTTCCCAAAGAATAAATGGAGACATGTATCTTGATAGCTTATGGACGTGGCCATGATCTTCAACCCTTCCTGAAATACTCCTTGGTCTTAACAAAAGATAAGATAGCCGTTGGTCTTGGACAAAAGTCTGTAGAATCTCATTCAAAGCAGTTTATGTAGATGTTGCCAAATAAGGAAGGTTGAGGGAGAGATATCCGCCTGATTTCTTGGGTGTTGGTGCATCTTAGGATTTCATGGATGCCTTCTGAATGCTCTATAGTATTTTGTGGTTTCCATAGAAAGGTTTGGTTCGAGCCAAATCGAATTGGTTGAAGGCTTTCCCAAATTGATGTCGGTTTGACCGGTTTGGGAAAATTGAGCAAACCAAGTAGATCCCTGGTTGGATTGGATTTCGGGTTTGGTTCTTCTTGATCTGTACTCCTAAAAGGCTTTCCTCAATATAACAAATGGCTTCAATCAAGGCCTCTTCATGGTTGGACTTGTATGGACCAAAATAGGGTTGAATTTGCCCATTGGATGCTGAGAAGATGAGCTAACTTTTAAAATCCATAACTCCTAATTTCCGTGTCCATTTGTCCTCTTATTGGACTCTTTAGAAAGCTGATAAACTTCTCTTGACTTCTAAAATTGGTTTTGGCTCAGGCCGCTTTTTTATTGGGCTTGAATCTTCTTCTAAAGGCTGGTACTCCCAGATGGACGGGCTGAGGAACCTCCTGTTTGTAAAATCTATAGCTTTCTGTTCCGGATAGTTTTTCTTGAACTTAAAAGCCTCAGTAATTTCTTGATGAGTTAGAGCACCTCCATTGGGAGGTTTTTACGGCGGGATTCTTAGCGAATTTAAGAACCAGTCTCTTAACTTTTAAACATGCATATGTAATTTCTTAACTAATCAGAGTTTTTATTGTTGCAGCCAACAAGGGCATGAAGAATTTAGGTCCAAACTTAGCTAGTTTTAACCTAGGCTAATGTACTTGATGCAATATATTATTTCTTATGACTTCAGGTTTTGTTTTCAAACTGTATCAGTAAGACTTATGTGTAATGACTTAAGTATTTGCTATATATTTTATAAATTGTTTTGTTTTGTTATGATGTTTCTATTTTGAAAACAAATTATCGAAAACAAACAAATTATAGCTCTTAGGCAAAATAACAATAGAATAAAAATAGCTTATTATTTTGAGAACTATTTTTTGAGAACTATTTTTGTGATAAAAATATGTATCATAATCATGTTGTAACAAAAAAAACAGTGCCATAGATTCGTTAATAATAGCACCTACTTATTGTTATCGTATATGCATATTTCGTAACGTCACATAAAAAAACTATTGTAGGAGCTACCTATGATGATTGCCGTATACATAGCATTTATGTTCAATATCAAACATCTAATATAGTATATAGCCCGCGCTAACAATGTACATATTTATTTTAGTGTGTACTAAACCAAAGATCAAACGTTTTTATGGAAGTCTCTCAGTGATGTGTTACATGTTGAAGATGGCCTTCCAAAGCAAGGGGTTAAGGTTGATGGTTAATTTTAGGTTTGTGCTAGAGATGGTGAATCCATAAAACATGTTCTGTACTTGTGTGATATTGCAAAATACATGTTTTAGCTGTTGAGGATATTATGTTTCCTCTATTGTCTCAAGATATGAGATATGGCTATACCAACTTTCGTCCCCTTCCTAGGTTAGTAAAGACATCAGATATCAGAACAAGTTATTGTTTGAATGATAGCTTTTTAATGAGATTAAGACTGTTAGAAAATTACTTAAAAATTAATTCTTTTATTCATTATCAGTGTTTATTTAGTTTATTAGGTAATGTAATTATTTTACTCTAGATTTATAAACATATAGATGACTATTTTGTTATAAAATTTAATTAATTTTTGTTTTAAACTTGATGTAGTCAATTTTAATTTTTTTTTAATGTCTGATAATCCTAAAAGCCTTATAGTCTTTTTAGGATTAGGTCAGGCTTTGAAATATAAATTCAAATTTTTTAGGTCATACTAATCAAATTTAGTTAACAATAATCTTAACTACTTTTGAGCCAGATCGGATCAGACCAGTTGACATCCATACACAAAATACTGAATTACTCTCTCTATTTCAATATATATATATATTTTAGAAAAAAAAATTTCTAAAAACAATTCTATATATCATTTTCAATCCATTAATTAATGTTAAATTGTAAATTTTAAAATATTTATTAAAATTATAGTGATCAAAAGTTATGAGGAATAATATATTACTAATTTAAATTCATAATTTTTTAGTATGTATTAAAATATGAAAACACACATCATATTGAATTAGAGGTAGTAGTACTTTGATTTATCGCTAATTTTGTATCATTTAAAATTGAAAAAAAAGAAAAGAAACATACCTCCACAACCTGGGTCCCCCACCTCGTAGAAGTGTGTCTTTATCTACACTTTTTGTCCTTTGTTTCATCTCTCCCCCACCATTCTTTCTCCGCTTCTTCTTTCTCTTCTTTTTCCCTATTCCACATAAAACCGTTTTCATGTCTTCCTCCTCTTCAGCTTCCGACAACGGTGATTCCCTCGGTGGTCCTAGCTCCGTGGTTAGTAGAAGTAGCGACGTTTTTGAGGCCCCATCTCCATCTCGCCCTCGCTTCGCCGCCAACGACGTCTGGCCGGAACCTTTCCTCGAATCTCTAGCCGTTCAAGTCGCCGTTGATGCTTCCTTAACCGTAGGCCTCCTAGCTGCCGCACCCGCACTTGCCAATGTTTTTCGGGTCAGTTCTTTATAATAGTCTTGTAACGTTCGAGATACATAAATATTCATTTTTTAGAGTATATCTCACTCGACGTACATGACACTATCAGAATTCGTTTATTATATATAAGCTAGAAAAATTCGCCACATAGATCTAACAAGGACAAACAAAGTCAAAATAGTTGTAGGCCACCATATATCTAACAAAGACAAAACAAAGTCAAAATAGTTGTGGGTCTACAACTTCAGAGGAGGGACACAATCTCGGTCTAGTCAAATGCACTCCTTGTTTCGTCTTGTACTTCAGTTATTGTTTCTAGAGGCTTGAAATTTTATTTTGCATATATTTCTTGTATCATTTGAAATGTCCATTTTAAAATTTTCTTAACTCGAGATCACAAAATTATAATTTTTTATCAACATCATAAACTCATAACTTAATGATTGAAATTATATTAATAATTGAATTATGAAGAGACAAAAAAAAACTGACCTTTAGAAAGGTAACCGCCCTTTCTGAGTTGTTATGATGGGTCCAAGTTCAACTTTTATGTCTAACAAGACGACATTAAATTGATGTCTCTTTCACATATCATATGGTTTTGGGACTTTATTTTTCTTTTTCGTTTTAGAAACTTTTTGTCTTCCATTTACCCAATAAGTTTATTTTTTATTAGTCTTCGCTTTCTCTCGCCAATTTTTGATACCTTTTAATGTCTATTTTTGGATCCACAAAGGAGACGATACAACCCCATATCGTTTGTATATTTTTGTGAAATTTGGACATGATAATTCTAATACTGATTTTATAAATGGATAGGTTCCAAAGTCAAGGTTTTTTACTTATCGGCTTTAAGATCTTCCTATATTGGCATGATAAAAAGAAACTTTTTAAAATAAGAAATCACATTTTGACTGAAAAGCCCTTCCAGTAATAATTAATTTAAACACTTTCTTGACTCAAAAAGAGTGTCGATAGACATTAGGCACACTGATTAATCCGATGCCCGATACATTTGATAGGGTATTTTATATCATTGCAACGATATTTATCTTTCCAAAATCCAAATATAAAATCGTCGAAAGTGACCTCTCAAGATAGACTCATAAAACTAGAAAATGTCGTTGCACATTTAAGAACATTTAAAAGAGAATGAAAAAGAAACCTAAGTAAGGTCCTGTCATTTTGCATCGCCAGTGTTAAGTCGTACATTATCATTACGACGTTAGGTTATTAGATACATATATAGAACTATTCAACATACCCATGATTTTTTTCATTTTGAAGAAAAACATATCCATAATTTTTTCATCTTAAAAAATATACATGATTTAAGTATTAAAACAGCCATACATATTTTTCTTTTCGATAAATCTGTCATAATGAATTTACTATGTTTTAGAGCCAACACATATATGTCGTTTTTTCTCATATCTAGTCGAGGAATAATAGCATATGAATACATATGTATATTTTATGCATACTGGTTATGTTATTTTTTCCTGCCAATAGCATGATGCAGTGAGTAATACATACTGAGCTTCTGACAACTTCGCATTCTATTTTCTCCTATCTCCCTAAGTGTAAATTTTGACTAATTCCATGGTATCTTCTAGTAAATTCAGTTTTCATATGGGCATTTAAATATATGTTAAGTGACAGCATGGTCTAAAGCATAAGACTTTTGTCAGAGATTTAAGGGTGTAAATAGAGTTTTCATTGTAGTTTTTCTCTATGAAATTGATCATGGATTCATCTTTTCCATGGAAGTCGGTTTCGTCTTTTGTTACTTTCCTTAATATTTTCAGTCAAAAAGACAGACAGTATGGGCACAACATATGCCAAAAAGCACATGGAACCCAATGTTAAGGGTCTCTTTGAGCACGTGGTACCTCTAAATTGTATTATGTTCTTTACATTTGAGTCTCAAACACAAAGTGATTTTCTGAATAATATCTTAGAAATTAGAACATGGTTAAGTATTTCCTTTCCATGCATATATATAAATATTTTATAAACATGTCTTTAACGATTTTTTTTTGGTAATTTGCTCAGTAATATAATGATTCTCAACTATTATCCTTTTTATTGTACTGATTATTATCTGCCATTCTGCAAGCTGGCTGATGAACACCATCAGTTATATGTAATGCATTATGTCTCATTTGTAAAGCCGCAAACTAAATCTGGTAAAACTAAGAGAAACGTATAGTTCGCTTACTCCCTCTTAAGTCACAAGTTCAATAGTCAACTGTCGAATATGATGAATGTTATCATGCCCTAGATTATTGTCTCGTAGTCTTATTTGCTAAATGCTAACGTATGGTTAAGTAGATCTATTTTTCGTTTAAAAATATGTTTCTAGAGCGTAAGGCACGAATTCGAATACAATACTTTGTGTTCAACGAAGAATAGAGATATATATCTAACATATTATTAGCTGTCTATACATACATAAATTTTGAGAACGTAGGTCCACGGATTCTTGGAGAGAGAGAAAGTATCATGTATATGTGTAAAATTGTGTATTTATGGGAAGCTCTACTTAAAAAAAAAAAAAGCTTAAAGCTATCCTTTCTTGGAAATGAAAGAGAGATAAGCACGCTTGTTGGCAAAGTCGTAATCTCATGTTCAGCTTAACTTTGTTATTTCCTCTCATTTAATATCTTCTCATCTGTCCTCTAATAAATTACCTAATAAAAAACTATATCGTTTGTTTTCTTTGGGTATTATTGTGCAATTGATTTGCTTTTTCTTTGGACATGAGACTAGGGCTTCTCTCGTTATTCCTTTTACTAGGCTTCTGTTGCTAAATCTGTAGCTTGCAGAGATTGATTAGTCGCGTCAATTGAACATACACATAGCTAACATTGTCATAATAAATAAATTTAGAACAGTGAGTTGTTTATTCGTTGAGTAAGACAGAAAGACATATATACGCAGAGCTTGTGTCTGAATCTGTCGTTGTCTTTCCATCTTCCTAGTCCCTATATAGTATTTTTCATGCTTCGTTGCAGGCCTAGTAATATCTTCTTTCTATGTGCATTACTATTGTCATTTATTTATTTATTGACTCTTCTTTTTGTTACATTCAATTAAAGTGAACTTGATATATTTTCAGGTAAATATAGTAATGCAGATTTACTAATAGTATTCAAATGTAAATATCAAACCATTTCTGCCAATCCAAACAAAATTAATTACTGTATTTAAATATTTTTCCTTATGTGACATTTATTTAGTAAGCTACTAAAATACTATGATGTGACGTTTATCTTAAGCTGATACTAATACTCTATATTTCACTGATATCTGTTATTATTGTAGGTATCCACAATGTGGCAGGCTGTTTCTCGTTCGGATCATCTATGGCAACTCCTTTCTCGCCAAGTTTGGGGAAGAACCCGTTTGATGCATGACACATGGCGAGATGAGTTTATCTACCATCATCGGACGGCTAGAAACTTTCAGATGCGTTCTTACGTACATTTCACCCTCAGTTTTGATCTGTCTGACGTGGACGAGCCGGATAGTCTCTCTTGCCGCTGTCTCAGACTCTCCGATCTCTATTTAGCAGCAGGATTCGCTGACGGAACAGTCCGTCTCTTTCTTTTGAGCAGCCGTCTCCACGTCAGGACACTTCGTCCGCCTCTACGAGACCGTTTTGGAAGATTCTCCCGAGCAGTCTCAGGCATTGTTATCTCTGGTTCCAGATTGGTTTTCGCCACGATGGATGGAGACATCCACGTGGCGGAAATTGACGGCGTGGGTAGTCACACGCGCACAGCTTTCCTCGGAGATATCGTTAACGACGGCGCGTTAGTGGATTTCACGGGCTGTGGACGGTACTGGATCGGTCTTTTCGCTGGTGTACCGGGTCGAGCTTTTCACATTTGGGACTGTATTAGTGAAGAAACAACATTCATTGGTGGTTCCCTAACCGATCCAGAAGCTGTTATGGGATGGCACACGTTAACGGAGGTAACGACGTCTCTTGGCCGGCTTCGAATCTCCGGTAGAGAAACAGCGGTGGCGTGTACTCAGTGGAGAATCATGGTGATTGATCTGAGAAACCAAGGAGTGATCATTGGAGAGGACGAAGAGCTACGGAGAGGACTTATAGTGACGGGTTTTGACGCTAACGATGAGGCTTACGTTAGAATGGATAGCAGGGGTAATGCTATTGTGCGCAGAGTGAGGACGCAAGAGACGGTTTGTGAGTTTCGCGTGAGCAGAGCTGTGCAGAGAAGAGTGATGGGTTGTGTTAATAGACTGCACGCGCTAATGTGCGCAGGAGGAGTGATGCGCATATGGGAAGTAGAGAGAGGAGGAGAATATCTATACAGTTTTAGAGAGAGAGTTGGAGAAGTTGATGCTATTGTTGCTGACGATAGACACGTGGCGGTTGCTTCATCTTCATCAATGGCTATGAGTACTATACATCTGTGGGACTTCGGTGCACTGTAGCGTTCCAGATTATAACGTGTGGTTGATTAATTAAAGAAAAAAGGTACCATTTTCTCTGAAAAAGCGAAGCCCTAAACCTAGGTGTATATGTAGGTTTCCAGAATTTTAATTTAATTGGGAAAGTGACGGATTGGAGATGGTGACAGGAGGGTGAGGTTTACAAGGGAGATTGATTCTCTTCTACAGAGTTTGACCAAAAGTATGTTACTGTTTTTGTCTAAAACCAAACAAAGTGGACTTTTTCTTATCGCTTTTTTCTGACGTTTAGGGTTCTCATATTAATTCTGACGTTGTACGAGATGTTATTCTTCATTTTCCATTTGTTTTTTCTTGCTTGTATTATTATTTGCAAATGCTTAACTTTTATCTAAAAGATATTTGGGGAAACTGTTTTTTTAGACCGGTAGGTTTGGACATTATCCCTTTAGTATAAATTATATTTGTATTATTTTTGATTCTAATGCCCTTTATTTATTTCTGAAATTATTAAAAAAAAAGATTTATGAACCAATTTTTTTAAAAAAATTGAACATAATGATGAAATCCCTATATGTATATAGTGATATTTTTTTCTTGTTTTAAAAATATGTAAATCATAATTTCATATATTGTTATATCGATATTGGAATCCGTATACTACTGATTAGAATACGAAATCCACTTTTTTCACTATTTCTACAAATTACAGAATATGTTCTCTACGGAAATAATAAGAATCTAAAATAGTTTGGAATACACATTCTACGCTTAGCATAGAATTCTAATACTCGTAGAAATTGAAATCTAAACTTTTACTTGAATCTGAGATTAGTAGAAATCGGAATCTACATTCTTACAACGTTCTAATACATCTAAAAACTGATTTCAAAACTTCGTACCGAGTTCTACCTTTAGTAGAATATGAATTCTACGGATAAATATTATTAGATCCGAAAATATAGGAAGAACATATTAGAAAATATTCAGTTTCCATATTTAAAATTCAAAGACAAAAACGTTTTCTAAAAAGAAAAATCTTTGCAAAATATTCTCACGGTTATTCTCACGGTTCTTCTCACGCCTCTTCTCCATTCTCCCCAAAAGTTTCACAGTCTTTACCTTGTTTCTGCCATAATTCATGTCTATGCCTCATGTGGTGTTTGGAAATCGGTTGTAGCTTCAGGTTGAGGTTGAGAAAACCTGGAGGTTTTCTGTTGAGAAAAAGAAATGGGGAAGGATACTTGCTTTGGAATTGAAGTCCTCTCTGGAAGAGTTACAGAAAGTTGTTATGAGGATTTTGGTTTCCAAGATAAGGATGTTGATTTGGATGTCACTATAGGGCAGGTACAAACCCATATGACGCCTTCGGCTATCAAATATAAACAAACATGTTTGCTTTAACGCCAAACTTGCTACTGTCAAAGCTAAGCATACTTGTTCTTCTTTGTATATTTTTTCATGTTTTATGTAATTATGAAAGTGGAAAAGTTGGTCGCAAATTGGTTAATGTAAATGTAAAACATATAAAGAAATAAATTAATCATTTGTTAATGCATAAATGTTTGCCTAGACTCCGAATAATAATCTTTACTGACTAGCTATTATTTAAACATTGTGAAATACGCAGAGCATGCATTGCTAAAAAAGAAGAATCAAGCTTTTCAACACAGAGATTAGTTACAACCATCGATGATTCTGTAGCCGAAGCTACATGCTACCCTTAAGTAAAAGATGATGAACAAAACTGGGTAGACTAATAACATGGAGAGAAGAGAGAACCAATGAGCTCTTTTGTCTCAAATGTTGCAAGAAAGAAGTTAAAATTAAGAAACAAGAACTATGACTTGTTGTTTTCTCCAAGTCTCTACAAGAATGCTAAGGTAATGAGCAGTAGAAGCGATAGGAATGTTAAGTTAACGAAAGAAGCTTGAGGGTGTGGGAAGCATCCAGAGGTTGTGGAGTTCACTGAAGGAGCCAACGCCGTTGTGTTGTGTCCGAGTGTCTGATTGCTTTTAGCACTGCAAAACATATCGACCGTTAATGTTGACTCATTCAAATAATAAAAAAATGTTTGAATGTATACCTTCCAGGGAACACACAAGTCCCTCTACCTGCATAGAGAATCAAAACATGTTTCAGAAACAGAACAAGAATGTTAAATCTCTTATTCAAAGAGGTGAGAGAGGTTTCCCATACTTGGATCAGTAGATGTAACCGTAGCAACTCCTTTAAAATCATGATGTCTTGCATATTTCTATAGTTTTAATCATCCATCCGCATGCATTTTATCATATAGATTAGGATTTAGCCATTTCTAGGTTGTATTTTGCATCCATTAATCCTTATCAGGTGGTGGCACATGCTATGGAGTTATTGGAGGTGTTTGGATCAATTATATGCCAAAAGATATCCATTTAGCGAGATGAGAGGCCACAACGGGGTGCCACAGCGGAGCCGAGGGGTCGGTGATGTCTAGAGCGGACCTGTGGAGCGGAGTGCAAGAGTCTGCTCGGCAATACGAGAAGAAGCGAGAAAACACTGGCCACATCGGAGTTGTGCAGCGGAGCCGAGGGGTCAGCTCAGTCTGGAGCGGACCCATGCAGCGGGGTGAGCAAGGCTGCTTGGCTTTACGGGAAGAAAACGAAGAAAATACCTGTGCAGCGGGGTTGTGACCCCGCTGCGCGTCTATGATTGGACGAAAAAGTTTGCTTTCGAGGACCTTTTTGTAATTTCCGTTTTTATGTTTTGAGTTTCAGAAACCTAATTTTAAATAGGTTTTAAGCCACCATAGGCAGATAATCTCTTTTCGAGAGAGAACAACTAGTAAAACTTCTTTTGATTCAGATTTCATTCCTTTCATCCTGTGTTCTGGTTAATTTCTTATCTATATCTCTACATGATTAATCTGAAATCCAATATGGATTTAAGAGGAATCATGGAGATTAGTGAGTAATCACCTTTTGAATTCATGGGTTAGGGAGATTAAGGGTGATTAGGTTAGTTCTAGGTTGTTTTAGTGTAGATCATTCTTGTTTCTTGCTAGTAGAGTATTCATGATGCATCTTCTGAGTAGGCCACTCAAAAGTTGATCAATAGGCATTTCTCACCCAAAAGGTGTTTGATGAAATTCCCGAGACAACTCTCCTAGGCTTTTAGTATACTTTGCCAAAGACATTTGTTGTTAAAGGTGCTAAGATAGCTAATAGATTTGTTAGTAATGACTGTTTTCATATTATTCAACCAAAGACATTTGATGTTTGAGATATGTTCGCAAATGAGCATTCATCTAGACATAGAGCTTGTTTAGAATTGTGTCTAGGTTTAAGGTAGATAGTTTGATTGATCATTTGCCATCCCTAGTTGAAACTTGATCACCCTAGGTCTAATCCCTGTGACCATGAATTCTCAATCAAAGAAGTTATTTTAGTATTCGTTTTTCTTATTCTTAGTTATAATTTAAAACCATCATTATTTCGACTGCACTTAGATTAAGCGAGTACTTACATTCTCAGTGCTTTAAAAATCCCTTAGAATTGGTTCGACAATCGTTTATACTACAACATTTGTCTTAGGAGCCTTGAAAACTCCTAACATCAAATTGGCGCCGTTGCCAAATTCTGAGTAGATATAAACATTGAGATTTAGTCAATTGCTTGAGACTAAGTCATTTTTCTTTTACTTTCTTACTGATTCTTTACCTTCTTCTTTCTTTGGATTTCAGGTGTATAAACTTGAGGAGCAAAGACACAGCAAACCTTGTTTCAAAAGCTCCAGATATCTGGGCATTTGAAAGAGAGATAGCAAGACAGAGAAAACAAGTAGAGCAACAAGCTCAACATCAGTGGTTGGATTTTGACATGAAAATCCCACCAGAAGGAGATAACAACCATGTGCAACACCCACCAGTGCACCCAGTTCGCCCCATCGACACATATGATATCCCAAACCTTCATGGCAATAGGTTGGGAATCAAAGCACCAGCTGTGGAGACCAACAGCTGTGGAATCAAAGCACCATGACTCCTCAACTTGATCGAGAACAACAAGTATCATGGCTTGCCTGTAGAAGACCCATTTGACCACTTGGACAAGTTTGACAGCTACTGTGGATTGTCAAAGACCAATGGTGTGTCGGAGGATGCCTTCAAGCTCAAGCTATTCCCTTTCTCTTTGGGGGATAAGGCATGTCAGTGGGAGAAGTCTCTACCCAGCGACTCTATCACTATTTGGGATGACTGCAAGAGAGCATTCTTGGAGAAATTCTTCTCAACTTCAAGAACTGCTAAGCTTAGGATTGAGATCTCCAGTTTCTAACAGAAGAACTTGGAAGGATTCAGTGAAGCATGGGAGAGATTCAAGAGCTACCAAGCTCAATGCCCACACTATGGTTTCTCCAAGGCGAGTTTGCTGAGCACATTCTGCAGGGGCGCTCTTCCTAAGTACAGAGCAAGACTGGATACTGCTAGCAATGGGTTCTTCTTGAGAAGGTCTGAGGAAGATGCTGAGGAACTGGTTGACAACATGGTCAAGAGTGACGCAGTCTACAGTGGAGACCATGACAGAGGCAGTAGAGGTGATGATAAGCAAACAAGGCAAAGCTTTGGAAGACAAGATCGACTTACTCATTGCTGAAAAAACCACCCAAGAGCAGCTGAAGTCTGTTGGTAATTCCAAGAAGGAAAATTCACCTAAAGTGAATGAGGTTGAGGGTTTGGAAGGTCAAGAAGAGTTGTGTTTCATCAACAACAATGGTAGCTGGTACAAAAAGGAGCCCAACTTTCAGTACAACAACTACCAACATAAATCCTATCCCAACAACCAACAAAGTGGTTATCAGCCTCAGCAAAACCTCTCTCATGGTTCCTCTGCTCCTCAAGAGAGCAGCACTGATGCCTTACCGAAACAAATCTTTGAGTCTCAGACTAGAAGTGAAAAGCATGTTGGTTATGAGTTGAAGAACCTTCATTCCAAGATTGATGGGAGTTACAATGAACTCAACAACAAATTCTCACACCTTGCTTC